GGTGGAAAGGATGGGAACAGAGGTTGGAACAGGGCTGTAGCTGTCCCTCTCTCTTACCGAGCAGTTTTGTGATGTCCCAGATACATGCAGTAGAGACTTAACTTGGGGTCTACCAACAGGGTTAGATGGAAGAGGAATATGATGACTCAAGAGGCATAATTTCCGTGACCACAGTAAAGAAACGAATCCTGTTAGCGACACCAGTGTATCCACCTTCTCTAGTCTGATTTCTATTGCTGTGATAAACACCGGGGCCAAAATCAACTTCAGGGGAGCAAGGGTTTATACTTCCAGGTCACAAGCCATCATGGAGGGAAGTTAGGGCAGGAATTGAAGCAGAAACCACAGAGGATGCTGCTTAGTGGCTTGTTTCCTGGCTTATGCTCAGGTAGTTTTCTTAGACAGTCTAGGACCACCTGCCTAGGGATGGTGCTGCCCACAGTGGGCTGGGCCCTCCCACAGATAGAGGCTGCTTGCTCTTTGCTATTCTCTGTAAAGCTAAGGATGTTCCATAACAACCCTTTTCAGGAAAGAATCTTCAGGAATTTCCACAAGGCTATGAATTGCCAGGATGCTAAGCCCTTTAGCCCCCTGACTGCAAGCGATGATTGCTGGATAGTCCACAGTACACTCTTCCTTTAGCAGCCTAAATTCCCTGAAGACAAGAGACACATGATAACACAGGCTAATAATACCTATTTGCTGCTGATAAATTAATGAAGAGTAGCCGGGTGGTGGTGGCGCATGCCTTTAATCCCAGCACTCGGGAGGCAGAGCCAGGCGGATCTCTGTGAGTTCGAGGACAGCCTGGGCTACCAAGTGAGTTCCAGGACAGGTGCAAAGCTACACAGAGAAACCCTGTCTCGAAATACAAAAACAAAAACAAAACAAAAAAATTAATGAAGAGTAAGTGGGGTAATGAACCTGCCCCTCAAGACTCCCTAGAATGTTCTGAATGTTTAGTCCTCTCTAATTTTTACTACAGTGTTTGTGTCCCATTGAAAGGTGCCTTGCCTTGCTCAATCATAAACAATCCCCACAAAAACGAAAGCTTCTGAAACAGAAGGCAATCGGTAAGTCAAAAGGAAATGACTCAGCGTGCTTTCGGGGGCAGACTTACGGGAGCCCCCGAACTCGCCCACACGTGAGATATCCTGTAGCCCACCAGTTCCCCATCCTGCCGCTTAATTGGGGGCTTCATCCATCTGATGTCCACACTGTTGTTAGATTCGTTCAGGAACACGGTGACGTTTAAAGGTGCTATGGATGGAGCTGCAAGGGAAAGAGAGAAAGATGAAGAGCTACAAGGAAAGACCACATAGATTGATTTTCTTCTTGGTTATCAAGTGTTTGGGTTTCAAATGCTCTATGAAAGACCCAGACTAATGGTCAATTTCCATCTCCCCCTTCCCCCGGATTAAGGACCATTGAAATGCCACAGGAGTTTTGCGTGCCCATTTTACGTGGTGATGGAATAAAAAACAGCTTTATGCACATTGGGCAAGCATCTTACCAACTAAGCTACATCCCTGGTTCTTGTGGCAGTTTTTATAAGTAAGGGTTTTCAGAGGCTAAATCCTCAAGATTCACTTGCTATTTTAGCCACCCAGGGGAGGCTAACAACAATGAGGAAGTCTGGGAAGGAGGAGGCTGGTGCTCATGGGTTCCTCCCATAGACGCCTGGGGCATTGAAAGTGAACAAGGCTGAATGAAGACAAACTTTGTGACTCTGGGCTGGGCAGTCAGGGAATGCTGGTGAGCTCAGAATGAAGCTGTCATTATACAGTCCAGAGGCAGGCAGTTACTGGTCTGGACAGAGGTACCCAATCAGTAAGTCTGAAGTGACTGTACAGTCATCACCCAACATCTTCAAGGGATTCCTAGCGGTACCAAAGTGCCCAGGTGCTCACATACCTATGTCCTCCCACATGTTTTAAGTCATCTTTGGATTATTTATAAAACCTAACACAACGTAAATGTTATAAAATAGCTCTTATATGCCCAGGGGTGGGGTGGTGGGATGGTGATTCATTAGGCAGGCAGAGGCAGGTGGGTCTCTGAGTTCAAGGCCAGCCTGGTCTACATAGTAAGTTCCAGGATAGCCAGGGCTATGCAGAGAAACCCTGTCTTGAAAAATAAAACAAAACAAACAAAACAAAGCAAAAAAAAAAATGCAAAGAAAAGCTTGGGGCCAGAGAACGTGATTTTCTTGACTAAAGAGGTCACTAGATATCCACAGCAGGGCCTCATTCTCCATCACAGCCTATCACAGTACCAGGACCAAAGAAAGATGTTCCAAAAAAACAGTCCTTGCAGAAAATCTTCCACAGCAGCCAAAACAGCAGACAAACAAACATCTCAGAAATAACTAATATTTTGAGGAGGGGAAGGTTTCTAACCTAACAGTCTATATTCTAACCAAGTATGAGGCAAAGGCATAGAGGTCCTCACAGTTTTTACTTCTGTACACACTCTCTTGGGAAGCTACTTAAGGATGCGCTCAGCCCAGTGAGATGGTTTGGTTCAGCACATAAGATGCTCCTGTAACAGGTGAAGATGCTCTTGACCAAGTCAGATGACCTGAGTTTGACCCTCAGAACCCTCGGTGGAAGGAAAGAACTGACTCCTGCAAGTCGTCTTCTGACCTCAACACACATCTACATATGTGCACGCGCACACACACATACACACACACACACACACACATACACACACACACACACACACTCACATATAAATAAATAAATACATGAACAAATAAATAGATAAATAAATAAGTAAGTGCCATGAAAACTGGGGAATAAATCAAGAGAGATAAATATGTAGGGCAAGGCAAGAGAGTCCCGTGATGATTCCAAGGGAAGACATGGAAAGAACAACACAGAAAGATTGAAGGCATCAGTGCTGGGGATTGCATGAGGCTGAGGACAGAATGGTCTTGTCTCCACAGTAGTTAATAGCATTGCTATTCTGAGCAATGCTGTGGTCTTGCTCAACAAATCTTAAAAGCAATACCCAACAAGAACTTGTTTCCTCCAGTTGGTTTTTGGGTGGCCCATCACCCAGCTCCCAAATAAATACATGGAGACTTATTCTTACTTATGAATGCCTGGCCTTAGCTTGGCTTGTTTCTAGCCAGCTTTTCTAACTTAAATTATCCTGTTTCTCTTTAACTATGTTTGCCTCTGAGTTTTTTACTTTTTTTTTTTTTTTTTTTTTTTTTTTTTTTTTTTTGGTTTTTCAAGACAGATTTTCTCTGTTTAATAGCACTGGCTGTCCTGGGACTCCCTTTGTAGACCAGGATGGCCTCAAACTCACTGAGATCCACCTGCCTCTGCCTCCCAAGCATTGGGATTAAAGGCATGCACCACCACCGCCCAGCACCTTTCTTTATTCTATATATCTTTCTTCTCTTCTTACTCTGTGGCTGGCTGTGTGGCTGGCCCCTGGCATTCTCCTCTTCTCCTTTTCTTTGTCCTCCCTTGCTATTGACTGTTCAGCTCTTTATTAGACCAATCAGGTGTTTTAAGCAGGCAAAGTAACACAGCTTTACAGAGTTAAACAAATGCAACATAAAAAAATGCAACACATCTTTGCATCATTAAACAAATATCCCACAGCATAAATGAATGTAACACATCTTAAACTAATATTCCACAACGGTTTCCCACTGGCTCATCTGTGTCCTAAAATAAAGATCACTACTTAGAGGAAATTCTTCCAACAAGGTAGAATTCTCATGGTACTGCCAAACAGCACTAGCCATGAAAAGAGTATCCATACCAGGTGTCTTAGTCAGGGTTACTATTGCTGTGAGGAAACATCATGACCAAAAACAAGTTGGGGAGGAAAGGGTTTATTTGGCTAATACTTCCACATCATAGTCCATCACTGAAGGAAGTCAGGACAGGAACTCAAACAGGGCAAGAACCTGGAGACAGGAGCTGATGCAGCGGCCATAGAGGAGTGCTGCTTACTTATTGGCTTGCTCCTCATGGCTTACTCAGCCTGCTTTCTTATAGAACCCAGGACCACCAGCCTGGGAATGGCACCACCCACAATGGACTGGACCCTCCCAGATCGCTATTTAAGACAATACCCTGTAGGCTTGCCTACAGCCTGATCTTATGGAGGCATTTTCTTAATTAATGCTCCCTCCTCTCAGATGACTTTAGTTTGTATCAAATTGATGTAAAACTAGCCAGCACACTAGGATGCCAAGAAATCATCCCAGATAGATGTTAAAATCATCAATTATCCTAACTGTATTCTATATGATCTAAAAGTTTAGGCATGAAATATATAAGAAGCAGAAGAGAATCACAGCATGAGAGACAAAGACTAGTTAGGATTAGTAGCTGGTTAGGTAAGATGACTAAGAACAAGGTAAGATGACTGAACCAGAAGACATAAACAATAGAAACTCTCCAAAGGAAAAATGAGGATAGCAAAGGGGAGGGATTAGCAGAGCACCATTGAATGATGGGACTTCTAATGGTCTGTTGTGCACATAGCTGAAGTCCTTAAAAGAGAGGAGAGGTAAAAAGGGCAAAAATGTATGAGGAGTGGAGGTGTGTAGCTCAGTGAAAGAGCATTTGTATAATAGGCACCCAGTCCTAGGTTCGGTCTCCCATACTGTGAGGGCAAGATGACAGGCCAAATTCTCCCAGATGTGATACAAACGATAATCACAGAGATGCAAGGAGTCCAATGGCCTTCGAGCACAAGGAATATTAGTAAAACGAAGCTAAAGGATATAATTGTTAAATTGTTCAAAGTCAGCACTAAGGGAAGAAACGGAAACAAAGCACATCTTACACACAGAAAACCAAAGTCAAGTTTACCACCAACATGACATTGGAAACAAAGCAAGAAAGGAAACAGTGGAGCACTGTAACACACTAAAAGGAAAAACAAGAACTCTCCCTCCCCCTTCTCTTAAAAAAAGAAAAAACAAACCCAAACCTCTCCATACTATTTACTTTTTGCTGCTGTAGTAAAGCATCACCACCTTGGCAGAGGGAAGGGTTTATCTTATCTTACACTTCCAGGTCACACCCCGTTACTGAGGGATATTAGGGCAGGAACTTTTAGGGCCGGAACCTGCAGTAGAAACCATGGAGGGATGAACTGCTGTTGCTCTTTTGATCTCTGGCTGAGCAGGAGGGTCTCTAAGAGTTCGAGGCCAGTCTGGACTACCTAGCAAGTTCCAGGCCAGCCAAGACCATACAGTGAGACCCTGTCTCAAACAAACAACCTAATTAGAACATCCTCTAGACAACTGTGGAGCTAGAATTTTATATAATTAAAAAATGACTTTTCCCCCCTTGGGTTGCCTGCTATGAATAAAAACTGTGTGCATTATATGTCAATTGAAAATAATACTGGCTTTGAGAATGGTGCCACCATCTTCCTATGTAAAGGAAAATGCTAAATGCACATAGTACAGATAAGGTTTTTAGGTGTTTTTTTGTTTTTTAAATTAAGTCTCTTAAATGACTAAGAAACAATTTTCTTTCCTATCTTATTGGCCACCCCACTAAAATGCACCCGACTAGCAGAGTGCATACAACATCAGGCTGTTGGGAAAGGTTTGCCTGATGACATGCCACTGGGGGGAAATGTTCATTGTGTATCTCAGGAATTACCTCCTTCTGTCGTGCTGGCCGGAGTCCAGGGGCTTACTGCAGACCAGCCAATTTCGTTCCGACAGGACACACCGATGCTGTAATTAGCCAGGGCTTGCAGCTGCTGGATTTCATACAGATGTGGCGAAGCAGAGGTATTAAAAACCATGACTGAGCCGTTACTCAGCAGGTCAGCTTCCTTGACCTGAATGAACAGTACAGATGTGGACCAGCATTAGTCAGGTGGGGGGAATGTCAGGCTTGGGCACACAAATGTTGGATGCACGTAGCCCTTCCTCTGTGCCGGAGGAAGGACCTGTTTTCATTCAGGACACACACAAAATTTCCCATCAGCATTGCTTCTGTTACTCATGAGGGCAACAACTGAAGCCCTCAGGAAAATGTCTACGCTGCGGAGCTTCACTGAGGCGGGCAACAGACAGACAGTTACTGTGATAATTATATTATTAATACATTAATAATTATAACTCGCCCTGTACTCAAATAGAAAGTAGCCCCTCTCCTCCCAGATCCACTTGAGTTCTTAATCTAGTCTTTTGTTTCATAGTATCTGGCCCTTGAAATAATTTCCAGATCTCCTTTTAGAGGATGGATTCCTTGACTTTTGTCATCATTATTGTTTGATGATAACATGAAAAGCAAGCACAAAATATCATTCAAGTATGCTTTTTAGTACTTCATAAGGAGTGACATGCTTGTGTGTGTGTGTGTGTGTGTGTGTGTGTGTGTGTGTGTGTGTGTGTGTGTGTTTTAGAGACACTATATCACCATGTACTTCTGACACAGTACCAATGGCTTTGCTCAGATTTTACTATTCCTATGTCATTTATCATGGATTTAAAAGCTCACAACTTGGGGTTGGGGAGATGGCTCAGCAGTTCAGAGCACTGGCTGCTCTTTCAGAGGACCCTAGGTTCAATTCCCAGCACCCACATGCTTGTGAGCTAGCAGATGTGGGTTCTAGGAAATGAATTAAGGTCCTCTGGAAGAGCAGGCAGCATTCTTAATCACTGAGCAATCTCTCCGGTCCCCCTTTAAAGCTTTTTATTAGCATCTGTTAATTATACATAATAATGGGTTTCATTATAACGTTTTCAGACATGTATATAAGTGTGTTTTGATTATATTCAGTCCCCATCACATTCTCTTGTTCCCTCCACTCCCTTCCTCGCCCTGGTCTCCCTTCTGTTATGTCTTTTTTTTTTATTTTATTTTATGTGTATGAATGTTTTGCCTGTATGAATGTGTGTGCACTATACGCATGCCTGGTGTTAGCAGAGGTCAGAAAAAGGTACCAGATCCCCGGAACTGGAGTTTCAGGCAGTTCTGAGCCTTCGTGTGGGTGCTGGGACCCCAACCTGGGTCATGGCAAAAGTAAATAATACTGCTAACACCTGAGCCATCCTCCAGCACTGCCATGGCTTGTGGGGTGTGTGTGTGTGTGTGTGTGTGTGTGTGTGTGTGTGTGTGTGAAATGAGTTTCATTAGGATTGGTTACAGGAGCGTGGGGGGGGGGGTTATTTACAGAACCACGGGCACCTTACCAGTGGGGGGCGGGGAAAAAAGAGTACCTCCTGGAGCAATCATTTACTGCCTACAAAGCTCAAGGAGGAGTGAGGCCCATGAGCTGTTCCCTGCTAACAATTAACTGCCTATCTAGTCTCAGGAAGGAGGAAGGCCTTGCCAGCACCACCCCACTCAATGACAGGATGTTGGTGGGCCCAGCTTTGCGCAGGTCTTGTGTAGGTGACCACAGCTACAGAATTCAAGAGTGCAACGGCCTTGTCATGCTGGGAAGACCACTGAACCACATTTTAAATTTCCAGCATTATATCTTGTTCCAGGAAGAACCATCTGTATTAGTCAGGGTTCTCTAGAGGAACAGAATGGATAGAATATATACAAAGGTGATTTATTAGAATGGCTTACAGGTGGTGGTCCAGCTAGTCCAACAATGGCTGTCTACCAATGGAAGGTTCAAGAACCCAGTAATTGTTCAGTTCACGAGGCTGGATGTCTCAGCTAGCCTTTAGTCTATGCCAGAATCCTGAAGAAGTCGGCTCCAATGTCAGTGTAGGAGTGGACTTGCAGATGAGAGCAAGAGCAAGGAGGCAGAGAGTGGAAGCAGCCTTCTTCCACGTCCTTTATGTAGGCTGCCTGCAGAAGGGGTGTCCCAGATTAAAGGTGGGTCTCCCACCTCAGAAGATCTGGATTAAAAGTGGGTCTTCCCACTTCAAATGATTTAATTAAGAAAAAAAAAAGTCTCTCCCAGGTGTGCCCAGCTGCCTGGGTTTTAGTTATCCAGATGTGGTCAAGTGGACAACCGAGAATAGAATCGCACCTTCTTTCTATCTTCTTTTCACATTCCAGTTGGAAACCCTGGTCACGTTGACTTCTGAGGTAAGTAGTAAGTAGGTGTTGAAGAAAGTCAAAATCTTCCTCAAGAGAATCAAGATTCTGAGGCTATCGGAAAATTCTTATGCAGCAATTTACATTTGAGGAGGAAACTGAGGTTTGAGGCACAGGCTATCTTGCAGGAAGATCCTGTCACCCTTGAATGGCCACACTCCTTTTCTTCTGGGCGAGGCTGAGTTCCACGAGCTTATTACACTGTAGATATTGCTTTTCCAGCTTCCTGGTTCTGTTTCTACACTCATTCTCAGGCTGTTTTATGGAGGAATACACATCTTCTACAAACATGGCCTCAGGAACCTCCCCACTGTTGGCGTCGCTTCTTCTTAAAGACCTGTGATCTGTCGTCATCGGGCAGAGCTGGGGACTGAACTGCAGACCAACACACGTGCTAGGCAACTGCCTGCCACTGAGCTACATACACCTGAGTCTCCTTAAAGCTTCCGTTTTGAGAGTCTTGATCAGTAGCCCAGGCTGTTGACAAACTTATGTTCATTCCCCCTTCTCGGTCTTCAAGTAGCTGTATTTCTAGCACACTGGGATTGGCTGCCACCATGCCCCTGCAATGCTCTGTCCTCATTCTGTGAAGTTGCCTTGAGTTGGCTTTAGTAATGCTGAGTGGTCCTTTACGCTTATTTCTCTCCACTCTAACAGAAACTCAACCTTAAGAGCTCACACAGTTGGCATATGTTTTAGGAGAAGCTGGGAAACACAGGAAAGGACGGTTTCTATCTCATTCAGAACACCTTTCTCTAATCTCCTTAAAATGTTAATCTCCTTGTCTTTACCTCCCCCAAACTCCACAATCTCCTCCACACTGCCCTTCAGATCTATGTTTACAGAGCAAGAGAACAGGATTCTCAGCTCAAATCTAGTCCTTGGCCAAACTATCCCCTGTCCCCTTATGCATACTTCCTGTTTGGGAATGGGGTTATGGGGGAGTTTGGAAGTGGTTTCTCTGGTACATGTACGTATAAAATAAATAAAAAGACAGAACAGTAGTGGGTAAAACAGAAGCAACCAAAAGCAATTTTTTTGGGGAAAAAAAAATCTTTAATCCAAAAAGATGAATTTCCCTTAATAATGGAGGTACAATTAAGGCCATGGATGGAGTGTTGTTATGTCAGGATAGGTGCATTTGCAGTTTAGCACCAGGACCATAAATAGACATTTTGGAATATTTTGGAATTCCCTGGTGGATACCATGAGGGTGGCATGGAGACCGAGTTCCACCTCTGACTCAGACCTCATGGGTGACAAGAAGGTACCAGCTGGCCTGAGAAGCCACCACTGTTCAAGGAACAGGGGCCATGTGCTTATCTTGGGGGTGGCTTTTTGGCAGAAATTACTTTTTGTTCTTTCATATTAAACTATGCGCTGACTTCCTGGTGACCAACCACTAAAACTAAGGTGGAGGAGACCTTTGGCTCTCTGCCCCAATCCCATTTCCGGAACCCTATTTGCAGGCAGGTTCTTGGGAAAACAGAGACTTTCTAAAATGGTCCTCCTCTGTGGACTCTGGGGAGGAAAGAGGGCATAAAATGGCAAGAAGCATGTGAAGCAGTTAAAGATAGAAATGGAGTGTGTGTCCCAAAATGGGGGGAGAAAGAAACCAGTCAGGATCAAAGGACGTGAACGGGTGTGTCCCGATAGTGTGCAGTCCAAATCCATCCAAAACATTCATTGTTACTGAGTCAGAGTTTAAAATGGTGATGAACTACAGCCCATTTGGTCCCTTCAGGAAGGGCACACACCACATACAACCTCTAGGCTCCCTGCAGGGCGTCTATAGGAAACAAAGGGTACTCTATTGAGTGTGAAGTTCAAAAATAAAAACCAGGTTTTAATACAGGTGAATAAGGAGATTGCTTGTGTCGTTAAACTGGCTTTCCAATGCCATTTGCTCGTTTAACAATTCCACCAGAGATGGGAGGGAGAAAGAGTGAAGGGAGGCTGAGCTAGCTGGTGGTTTGAGTGCAGAATGACCACATCTGACATCACACGGTCCCAGGTGGGCGAGAGGAGCCCGTCAGTCGTCTGCCCTGGGATGCTTTTCATATAGGCCGTGACTGTGCAAAGCCACAGCACAGTCAGAGAGAACGGGCTAAGCTGGTGTTGGAGTCTTCACCTCCCAGAGTGCTCCGGTGCTTTCAGACACCGGCTGTCTCACCCCACCGTACATCTACCCTGAGGCTCGCTCTCTCAAAGCGGTGGTTGCAGTAGCCATTCTCTCTCTCTCAGCGTCTCCCTGAAGCCCACCACTCTCATGAGGGAAGGTATGCCATACCCTCTCTGCTCCTCAGTTTAGCAACTTGAACTTGCAGCCTCTCAGAAGGCTGTCTGTAACTTCAGCTATGTCTGTAAGAATAAATGTCAACACCCATCCCCTCCCTGTACTCTACAGCGGAGCTCTGAACTCACACAGAGCCAAACTGATAGAATGGCCGGGCAGCAGTGGTGCACGCTTTTAATCCCAACACTCGGGAGGCAGAGGCAGGGGAATCTTTGTGAGTTCGAGGCCAGCCTGGTCTACAGAGTGAGTTCTAGGAAAGGCGCAAAGCTACACAAAGAAACCCTGTCTCAAAAAACTAAAAAAAAAAAAAAAAAAAAAAAAAAAAACAACCTGATAGAATTAAAGGGAGAAAAGTTTAAAAAATAAGAGTTGAGACCCTAACTCTCACTCACAGTTACGGACAGAAACATTAGACAGAAGACCAACAGGGATACAAGACAAAGACAATGGACCAACTGGGCGAAACTGTAACACACAGAACATTCCTGCCAGCTGGTTTACATCATCTCTAGTCCTCGGCAGTCTCCAGGACAGGACACACTATGTCATTAAACAAGCCTTAATAGATTTTAAATGACTGAAACCAGTCTAAGCATTTTCTAATGGAACATTAGAAATAAACAAAGAGGCTGAGGAAGGAGACGGTTCAGTGGGTAAGAACACTTGCCGCGCAGGCTTGCAAACCCAAGTTCAAATCAGCAGTACCCAGGTAAAAGGCTGAATGCGACTGCACACACAGACTCTTGTAGCCCCAGGGCTGTGGGAGCAGAGGCAGGAGGATCTCCAGGGCTTGCTGACTGCCAGCCTTGCTCCAGGTTTCAGTGAGAGATGCTGTCTCAAAAGAACTGGTGGGGAGTGACAGGGCAGGACATCCGACAGGCTCCACACACGCATGACATACATGTTTGTACATCACACACACATAAAAGAATAATAAAAAATTAAAGGCATGGGATTTAAACACATTCCTAAATAATCAGGAAAACAAAAAATCATAAGGAAAAAGAAAAAACAAAAACCAACAAGAAACCATTGAGATGAATGAAAACATAGTAAAACAAAAATCTCATGGGATACAGCTCAAGCCATATTTATAGGGAAATGGATAGGACAGATGTGCAGCATAAATGCCTATATTAAATTTCTCTCAACTAGGCATGATGGCACAAGCCTGTAATGCCCTTTGGAGGCAGAAACAGGAAGAGTAAGAGTTCATGATTATTTATGGCAATAGTGAGTGGAAGGCCAGTGTAGACTACACGAGGCTGTCTTTAAAGCATTCATTAAGCAGTCAATTGGGAGGATTTCCTGGTGAGAGACTGTAGACACAAGAAGGGCTAGCACTTACAGTGCTTGGGAGATTTACAAATACAGCTGGGCAGGAATTAAACAAGGCTGGGAACGGCAGGGTGAAGACAGATACATTTTTAGAGATAATGCATGTTTTTATTTTCCAGAGAAGGAACAGCTGTCAGATAAGAGTAGGAGGCACCAAGAGCAGGGAAATTAATTCCAGTTGGTATGAAAAACATCTAGTTATCAACACAAAGTTCTCTGGAAGTCACTTCTTCAAACTGAGTTGGAATAACGAACCTATGTTAGATTAATGTGTTTGTCTTTTTAAAATTTAATTATTTATTATTATTATAATAATAACGCTTGTGCCTTGATACACAAGTGGAGGTCAGAAGACAATTTTTAGGACTCAGTTCTTTCCTTCTACTGTGGATCCCAGGGATCAAACTCAGGCCGTCAGGTTTGTGTGGCATCTCGCTGGCCTGGTTAACAAGGTTTTAGTGAAAAAACCAGATATTCAGGAAACTAAGGATAACTCTGTCCCCAAGGCAGAACGCACTCATCCTGGCAGCAGACAGTCCCCAGGTGACTGGTGACTAGCTCCTACACACTGTGTCTGATCTGACTGTGGAGTTAGTAGCTCTAGCTCTGATGCTGGCATCCGATCTTCATGGACCTGAATTCTTATCCTATCACTCATAGACAGGTGAGTGTGCCCAGTCCACAGTGCTAGTGTGTTTTAAGCAAGAGATACATATCCACAGAATGAATGCCTTGGCTCCAGTGGGGACTCAGTAGTAATAGCGTTCTTGCCCGCTTCTGTTTTCCGGAAAGGAGCACTCAAGAGCACAGCTTATATCATGACAAGGTACCATTCAGGGCGACTCACCCATATTTCTCCCTGCCCTGTTTCCTAGTAACTTTAGGTACAGTTAAAAGAGCAGAAGATTCTACAGGGCCAGCAATCCCCACATTTCCTTTCCCCAAGAGACAGTGGCTAAGGGGTTTCATTTATCAGCACACGTGACCCACCTTGGGCTGGTGCCTGTCCCTCATAGCACCAGGGGAGGAAGAGCTATACTGGGAGGTGTGTAGCCTCCTGAACCCTTGGTCACAAACCGGCTCTCATTCAAGGGGGATTTTTGTAATTTATATGAATCTTTGTAATTTATAACAAAATATCCCTGGCCTCATGACCTTTGTCCTTGGAGACATGTTTCTCTCCTGGGTGGACCTGGGCCCATAAAGCAGCATTGTGGCCAGAGCATCAGAAACAGCCTGTGATGGTCGACACTGAGGAGGGGTGGAAGGACTTCTGAACAGAAGTGGAGAAATACCTTCCATGCCTGCCCTGGGGAGGAGGAAGGAAAGCCAGAGAGCATCACACAGAACCACACAACCCCTTCCCTCTCTGTTATGGAGATTTACCTGAATGCTGCAGTTCTGAAATGGGGAGTATCCATCAAAACCTGGGACCCAGGAGACCAGGATGCTGTGTGCTGTGCTGCTGAGGATGTGGACTTCAGTTGGCGGGGAGGGAATTGCTATGGAAAAACAAAGACACACACATACAATCACCCCAGGGGGCCACAGGCATCAAACCAGCGGTTCTCTCAACCTGTGGGTCCTAACCCCGTTGGGAGTCAAACAACCATTTCACAGGGGTCATCTAAAACCATCGAAAAACACAGATATTTACATTATGATTCAAGGGTCCCAACCCCTTTGGGGGTCAAACAACCCTTTCACAGAGATCATCTAAGACCATCGGAAAACAGTTATTTACATTATGATTCATAACAGTAGCAAAATTACAGTTATGAAGTAACAGTGAAAATAATTTTACGGTTGGGGGTCACCACAACATGAGGAACTGTATCAAAGGGTCACAGTTAGGAAGGCTGAGAACCACTGATTTAGACCAAGGTGGTCTTGGTTGCACTGACCTAAGTTTTAACATAAATGAAAGTCAGAAACACAAGTTTGGCCTCAGTGCTGGGGGGACAAGGCAGATGGACCAGAAGTTCAAGGTAATCTTGTCTTAAAATGAACACATAGAAATCCCATAAGCCTTGGAAACAGGATTGAATTTTTAAAGAAATTTTGGGTGAGAGTTTGCCTTAAGTATACATTTTCATGCTTCCCATTTTATACTTGTTTAACCTTAGGAAAAGGTCTTTCCAAGTCTACACCCACTGGAGGATTTCTGAGATTCCCAACATGCCTTTGGAAACTGTAATAGCGGAATTTGTAGAGAGGAAGGAAGTTATACACTTCCTCCAGGAGTCACTTTTAGTTTGACTTTTTTTTTTTTGCAATGAACTCTTACAAAATGCCATTTCATATCCTTCACCCAGTTGATTTACTGAAACTGAAATCAGAATCTTTTAGGACTATAACTCCTTCCGTAGTTTTAAATTCCCTTCTCTACATGCCCAACCTTTAACTTATTAGTCAACATATTCCACTTTTTCCTTGTGTTTCTTTGATTTCCCAAGGATAAGAGAAAAGAACCATGAACCCATTATTTACTCTTCACTATCTCAAAATCAGAACCCAATATTGATTCTCCACTATCTAAAGATCAGACAGTAAAACATAAAATGTGCTTGTGTTTCTGTGAGCTAGAATGATGATATAAAGATAAGGCAGAATTTGCTTGCAGGTTTTCCTTTCCTTCCAGGTTCTGGGTTTAAATACCTGCTGCTACACAGGAGAAGAAGGACAAGGTGATGAACTGCCATGTCTCTGCTTTGACGCTGTTACTGTCGATCAGCTGCCCAGGGAGCTCCCATCTAGGGAAACGCAAGCTCACGGGAGGTAAGATGGAGAGGAAGGGAGAGGAGGAGACAGATGGGCCCCCCTCTTCTTTGCTCTCAGCTTCCAGTTCTAAGGCTCCCTCTTGTAAGACCTGGATCGGGTTCAGCTGACCCAATCTTCATATCAGGGTCCCTGGCAGGCCCATCTCTGGGCTCCTCAAGGGAAAAGTGAAAACAGAAGTAGTTTTCCAGCTTATTCTCCCCCCTGTGCTCAGCAGGACGACACCAGCTAACGCCTGGCAATGACTTACGCGCCAAGGACTGCTGTAACTGTTTTACTTGTACCAAATCAAGCCTCAAACAGGTGGGCTTTATAATTACCCCTGTTTTCTTCTTCCAAAACAGCACTGACACCAAGGAGCAGGGACCTGTCCACTGTTACAAACAAGTCAGTGGGTACCGCAGACCCCCAGGGGTGGTGGGGAGCCCTGGCCTTCCTGCTCACCTTTGATGTTGATCTGCACACCCTTGGACACCGTCAGCCCTTTGTCATTGTGGGCCTCACAGCTGAAGACTGCTGTCTCTGTCAGACCTGGGGCGGAAGGACACTCATGAGATTCGAAGCAGAGAAACAGGTTGCCCTGGACTGGAAATCTGTGGCTTTGCCAGCTTTTATTTCCTGGGTCATAGCTTCTAGCCTGAAATACAATATTCATTTAAAAATTGTGCTAGCTATAGAAAGATAAACCTGAGAAGAAACTACAGGTACCCAGAGCAGGGCAGCCCTGGACCCAGAGGCAGCTGCCTTCATTCATTCAATCTCTGAATGCCGAGGTAATGTCATTCAGACTTCTTTCTTTTTTTTTTTTTTAAGGGGGGTGGGGGGGGGGTAAAAGACATGGTCTCTCTATGTAGTTCTGGCTGTCCTGGAACTCATTCTGTAGATCAGCCTGAACTCTGTAGACCAGCTTAAACTCACAGGGATCCACCTGCCCCTGTCTCCTGAGTGCTGGGATTAAGGTGTGCCCCACCACATCCAGCCAGAGTTTAGTCACAAATACAGCAGACAACACACAAGCACATGGGAACCGTGAAAGAGTTCATCACAGAGATGCAAAGGAAAGTGTTTCCAAGGGCCAAGGCTGGAGCAGTCAGAGCAAGAAAATAACGCAGCGGTGAATTACAACCCAAGGTATGCAATAAAGTTTTAAGTGGTGTGTATTGATAAAAAGGGCAGGTTAAATAAATGGAAGGTAACAGACAAGTTTCCCACAAAGACAACCTCCAATGGTCTAAGTAAATTCTCCTTCCTTGAGGAAGTAGGCGGAAGCATGGCGTGGGAAAAGTGAGAATGAGGGCACACTCAGGATGGAGAACCTGACCACGCCCATCCCTGCCAGGCTGGTCAAGGTTCACGCCTGCAGTGACCGGTCATGTCGACAGAATGTACCCCGGGATGATGGAAATGGCGACTTCGCTTCTGTAACATTCCTCTTGAAGCACAAAAGTTTGTTCTGTCCATATGAAAAGTATCAGCCAGGCCCGTGGGACGGTCTACAAAACACCTGACCAGTAATCCTCAAAACCACCCAGGCCAAGGAAAACAAGGACCACGAGGTGCCTGATCAGACAGAAACAGATCGTGGAGTAGAGTGTGACATCCTGGATGGGATTCTGGGACAGAAAAGGGACAGGAATTAAAATCTAAGAAAATCTGAATGTTGGCTAATAAAAATGTATCAGAATTGAGACATCAGTGGTAACCAATTTATCACACCAATGCAGGATGTTAATAACAGGGACGTGCAGATGGGGTATATTCAGATTCTTTGTTCTTTTTTTTTTTGCTTTTTCGAGACAGGGTTTCTCTGTGTAGCTTTTGCACCTTTCCTGGAACTTACTTGGTAGCCCAGGCTGGCCTCGAACTCACAGAGATCTGCCTGGCTCTGCCTCCTGAGTGCTGGGATTAAAGGCATGCGCCACCACCGCCCGGCTTTGTTCTATCTTAACAGTTTCCTTTAAGTGTGTTTTTTTGTTGTTGTTGTTGTTTGTTTTGTTTTGTTTTTATTGTGTGTATGTGTGCAAGTGCGTGCATGTCATGGCGCATGTATAGAGGTCCGAGAACAACTTTTAGGAGTTGATGCACCTTGTTGAAATAGAGTTTCTCTTGTTTCTGCCACTGTGCAACCCCCTCCTGGCTAGCTGGTTCATGATTTTCAGGCAATTCCCTGTCTTTGTGCCTCATCTCATCCTAGGAGTGCTGGGATTACATATGAGCGCCTTGCCGTTGAATTCAGCCTTTTCTGGGGGTTCTGGGAGTGGGGAATTCAGATTGGTGCTTCATCTGCTGACCACGCCCCAGCGCAATTTCCACAGTTTTACTGCAAAATCTAAAACTATTTTAAAATGTAAAAGGTTTTTTTTAAAACAAACACACAAACTAACCTATATGCATCATGCAGTTGGTCTGGAAACTTCTATATCTCTAGGACACAAAAGCAGTATTATTATAAATTGAAGATAGACACCTTTTTTACAAACAGGCCACAACTTGCTCTTACCTATAAAGCTTATTTTGGATGCTGGAGAGATGTCTCAGTGGGTAGAGCATATACTACTCTCACAGAGGATCACGGTTTGGTTCCCATGTCAGGTAGCTCACAATTTTCCCCAACTTCTAGAGGATCCCATAGCCTCTTTGGGCATTTGGCTCACTTGCACTCCCAGGCACATATACCCACATACGGACACATACATAATTACAAACAAACAAACTTATTTAGTTTTCTTTGGTCTACTACATAGGGAATTTTCCATTCTGATATCTGAAAATTCTCAGCTTGTTACTAATGCACTGAACTTGAGAAATGAAAGGGAGGGGGAAAAAAAACTGTCTACAGGAGAGCAGCAGTCATTAAGCCTAGGAAAGTTGTCCAGTATCGATACCCATGTGGCCAGGACTGGGTCAGGGCTGCAGTCAAGTGGTCATTATGTGGCAGAGGATTGTGTTTGGAGAAGTTGTAACAGAAAAAAAGAGCAACTCTGATCCCCCACCACCACCACCCCGACACACACACACACACACACACACACACACACACACACACACACACACAGTGCAGGTAAATTCCTGTTACTTTCCACTCAGATGGAAGGCTCTCCCTGGTGTCGGAGTTTTCCTGACTAGGCATGGCCCCTCAGTGGAAAAATCAACCCTGCATTTCTGTCCTATGACTCTCACGGTGACTTTCCCTTTCTTTATAAAATATTACACTGAGAATGTGACAGATATTTACTTTTCTGAGATGGGGAGTATTTCCCTCACACTGGAGGGAAATCCTAAAGTGGATTGCTTAATTCAATTTTCTTGACACTCTAAAGCACCCAGTACAGCGACTTCGGGCAGGAGCCACGTCTTTGTGTATTTGATCACGTCCTCTCAGGTGAATGATGAAAATTCTGCTCCTGATTTGTATGGTGACTGAAGCAAATAATTAGTTCTCTGAAAACGAGGATTTGATCTCACACCCCTTACTTGAATCTATAAAGGATGCTTGGGAATGAACGCTCCGTAGGAGGGGGAGGGGCGTCCTTAGCTCGTCTGTTTGCTTCCTCCTAATTCTGTAAAGTATGTGTAGTCTCTCAGAAATTCTGATGTCTACAATGCAAAGGTTTTTATGATTTAAACAGCTGAATAAAATGCAGTTGTAGAGAGCTTGGGAGCTGGTTAGAATCTAGGACCTTGAGCATATCTAATCCCCAAACCCACCTGCAACATTTTGATAGGGACATCAGCCACTGAAATCACTCCTCCTCCAAGAGTGGAAATTTTCCACCATGATTTTCTACTTCTCCTAGGAAGTCTATTCTAACAGCATCCACGTGTGTGCTTGAAAATCTTTGAAAAATTACCTTATGATTTGCCTCATTTTGTATTGATTATACCTTATAATAATTATCAGGATGCAACTAATTATTATAAATAATTCCACTTTTCTTTTGTCAATGATGAGGATGACACCCAAGACTTCATGCATGACTGACATGCTACATCCCCCCCCCCCCCCCCCCCCGCAATGTATCTCCTTTGCCAGATCAAATTGGAATTCTTTGTGCATGTAGTCTAAAAAGTCCTTAACCCCGAGACAAAGTACCACAGCTGCTCTTCCCAGAGTCGGGTCCAGACTTTTAGAGATCCCAGGGACACTTGCCCTCAAAAGTTGGCTTATTCTCATGATAATAATGTTGCTTTCCTTTTCATGCTCATTATTTCATGAATGTATGAAGGAATTTTCCAGAGGCTGATGTCATACAATGATGTCACAGGTTACTGGTCAGTGGAACATGGGCTTGGGCATCTCTGTCTTAAAAATTTTCCATTGTACTTTCTAATTCAGTAACCAGAAAAGCATAACTAGTATAAAAATTGTTTTAAGACTTAAAGGGACCCTGACACCAAAGTCTTTGAAAGCTGATGTCCCCCTGAGATTCTGGGGGAGGGTGGGCGGAGGCACCAACTTCTGGAAAAGGGAGGAAGAACTTAGAGACAAAAGGCAGGTGGGAAACAACAGCAACAAACAAACAAACAACCCTGTGTGGCATCGGTCGGTCGGGCTTTGATCTTAGGAAAGAGAATGCACACAGAATGAGGAGCAAGTCACAGTGTGGGGTCCATTCCGCCACTGCCCATGTGACAGCCAGGCCTCTGGCTGTGAGGCTGCAACATTCCTCTTACCCTCCTGATCCCCCAGAGGTGTCTCCCCATCCTACCAGCTCCCAAGAACCTGCAATACTTGACTCTCATTTAGAAAAATTAAGTTTGGGCTCCATCAGAAGACACAGGGGTTTTACTAATTCATTCATTAATTCATTTGTTTTAGGTACAGTAGATGTCTGCAGGCTAGTACCTACCTATCATTTGATTTCAATTATTCTTAACAAAACTTTCAGGAAACATGCATGGCGCATGAACTACAAAATATCACTTTCCAATCTGAGCAAGAGAGGAAGAGACGGCCCAAAGGCAAAACAGGTTTATTTCACTGAAATCCGGTATTTCATTGTAGCTCCCTTGAGGGAGGACAACCACCTCACTGCTCCATCCTCAAAAGCGGACTAGTGTTTAAAGTGAAGCTGGCCACCACGGGACTTAATTTTAGATCAAGCAGGAAGTCATTTTTTTCTCTTTGTATTTTTTTTTCCAAAGTGTACACAAGGTCAGAAAAACAGTTTGTAGCGGATGTCTCCACAGCACAAGGCACCCACACCGAATTGGGACTCCAGAGACTGGCCCTAGCGCTGTTCGGTAGGGACAGGTGCTTGATGGCCACAAACCAAAGAGACGCAAGCAGACAGACGTGGAAACCATCCAAACAAAGGCAACTTTCTCCAAAACTAGATCAGCGCTTACAGCTCCAGAGGTACCCCGCCTTCACCCCACAAGGTGTTCCACCCTCCATATGCCAGGGACAGAACCAGGCCTCACTCACTCTAGGCAAGTACTCTACCACAGAACCACACCCTCACCCTGTATAACTTTCTCCCTTAAGTTTTTGGTTTCACTAACTTCCCAAGTCGTCGTGTTTATGCAGC